CACTGCCCAGCCGTGCCACGTGGGGGGGAGGAGTCAGTAACAGGGCGCTGAGCGCCAGCGCGCTCCCGCGCCCCCTTCCCTCCGTGCCCGCCCTTGTGGCTCTGGCAGGGGAGGATGCAGAAAGGGGGCAGGGAGCTGAGGGGGGATGGAAGCGGCCCGTCGGCTACCCAATACGCTTAGGCCTAGTCACTCCCCGCCCCTCCCCCACCTTGCTGCCTGTGTCAGAGGTACCACGGGGGGCAGCGGGAGCCAACTTAAGCTGCTTTCTCCCAGCATCATCTCTGTGGGGGAGGAGGGACAGAGTGGTCCCTGCTCTCACCCGTCTGACTGCTGTGCCTCTGACGGGTAGTACCAGCGCCACAGGCAGCTCTCAGTGTGGATGCTAATGAGAGGTTATTTGGCTAATCATGTAATCGATACAATTTGTATCAACTACATGATTAGTCGATAAGCACCGCTCTGAGCTGCAGTGATGGTAGCAACCAGAGCTGGCCTGAACCAGGACTGAGCTGGGCTCTTATTACATTTAAAATGCAGAGCTGCAGCAATTCTGGAACAATCCAAGTGGTGCCGGCTCCGAACTGCTGCAGCTCTGCATTATAAATGTAATAAGAGTCCAGCAGCCCGTCCACGTGGCGGGTGTCCACCAGGGGCAAGGCTGCTTCACAGCAGTCACCCCCATCCCCGTGCCTCTGTTAGAGGCAGCTGGCACTATGGAGACAGTCCTGCGGGGAGCCTGCTTTTAACCTGACTTCCCCCAGCACTGGCTCTCATAAAGAGGCAGCAAGGGGGAGGGGAAGTGAGTAGTTGAGTCTTCTACTCGCTTACATCCCTAGTCCCTGGATCCCAGAAGCTGGGGAATCTGATGCCAAAAGCCTCTTAGTTGAAGCTTCGAGTGGGGAAGCCTGACAGCCAAAGCCCTGTGGCTCATGGGTCAGGAGGGAGGTTTAGCCTGTCATTGGAGCCTCTGGCTGAATCCTATGAGAGGCTGAAGCCTGTCCCTGGAGTCCCCAGCAGAAGCTCACTCCCTAGGTTCTGCTCAGAAGGAAGGGTCTGCTTTATTCCTCTCTCCCATCTGTATTGAGGCTGTTATTACCACATTTGAGAAATACTGTTCTAGGCCTCACAAATAAATCAGCCTGCATACCTAAACTTCAGAAAGATGCAGGAAAAATATTTTCAGCCTGATGAAGTGGGTCTTTGCCCATGAAATCTTATGCTCCAATAAATCTGTTAGTCTATAAGGTGCCACAAGACTCCTCATCGCTTTTGCAGATTCAGACTAACACAGCTACCCCCTGATAATTTTCAGCCTAGTTATCAAAGACAAAACCAGACACCTAAAGGGAATTTTTGCCGTTATAAACAACTTACAGTAAAAGATTTCAAACAATTGTAGCAGCAGTAAAGCACTAATGTATGTGTTTCTTTTAGTTACTAGATGAAAACGATCAACTGATTCGGTGCATTGTAGAATATCAAAATAAAGGAAGAGCTACAGAGTGTGTGCAGTAAGTAAGTTTATTCCGAAATGCAGTCACTATGATGCATATATAGCAAAGGTTCTAGTTTAGATGTTCAACACACCGAATTTATCAGAAAATGTTGTATAGAAAAATTAGGACTTAAAATAAGCCTTGTTCAGTGACCACATGCAAGATCAATAGTTTATTTTTCAGTTGATGATGCAATAAGCTTCCTCATCTTTAGGGTGAAAGTAATTTAGAAATTGGGTATAGAAGAAATAAAATACAATGGGAAATAAACTATTTCCCCAAGAGTAAGTTTTTCCATTTTGGGTGTACAGTAAAGAGCCTAATATGGTATGTATTCATGGACTTCAGTTTTTTGTAGAAAATAACAACCGTTCAAATAATGTCAAGTCTTGTTACCTTTTGAATTTTCCAAACTTTTTTCTCTCATAGGTACCAGCATATCTTGCACAGAAACATTATTTATTTGGCTACTATTGCTGATGCAGCACCACCCACTGTGCAGAAAACTGACTGATCCCACAAACTTGGACATCCTTCAGTGGTGCCTATATAAAGCAAGACGACATGATTGAATTGGAGGAATGCTAAGGCTCAGAGGAATACAACATTCCCTCTTTGACTGGCTAAAAGAACAAGCTTTGATAGGGATCATCTGGGAATCCAAGGGCCATGATTCATGGGCATTAGGGAGTAGAATAGGAAGAGAATTGCTAGGGCCTTGCATGTTGTTAGTGGTGAGCTGATAAATATGTGGAAGATGCCTTGCAACCATCTTCCCCTTTCTTGGTTTGAGAGAAAAATACAGCTTTCCTGACAGTGCTGCCACCTAAATCTTTCATGCTTCTGTGAGTATAGGTGACAATATGGAGCAGTATCACTGAACCCCTAACAACCTGAATTTCATCATGTATTCTTTTGGAAAATGAGCTTGGTGTAAAGGTGGTGAATGACGACACTGGATACCAGAGGGCAGATTGAGCTTGGAACAAAAGCTCAAATTCTGATTCACTTAAATAAAGGTTGGCCCTCCCTGGTCCAGCACTCTGAGGACCTGAGGTTAGTGCTCCCTTGCTGGCTGCCCCACTACTGGTCTCCTCTTGCTTGGGTTCCCTGCCACTGGCCCAGCACGGCTCCCTATCTGGCTTCTCTCCCACTAGCCCAGCATGGCTCCCCACCCACTACCCCAGGGCCTTCCAGGGTTCCCTGCGGGGACTGCTTGACCACTACTGGCCCTGCTGCCTCAGGATGTTGTCTGAGATACCTGGCTGCTGCTGCCATCTGGGGTTTCCCAGCTGGGGTGCACAGCCCTGCCCTGCTGCTAGGGCTGTGTCTGCTGCTGCTGGGGATTCCAGCAGCCTGGTCAACCCAGTCCTGCTGCCATGGGGGGCTGCTCTGCTGCAACCGGGGATTTCTTGGCTGGGGCAGCAGCTCCTTGGCTGTGGCCTAGCTCCACTGAAATCAGGGCAGGGGCTTCCCAACCCTTGTGTTGCTCCTGTCTCTGGTGCTCTTTGGTCCTGCTGGACCAGAGTCCCAGATTTGGGAGGTTCAATCTGTACTGACAGATCTGACAGATAACTACAGAGTCCCAGATTTGGGAGGTTCAATCTGTAGTGACAGATCTGACATAACTGGAGATAGTCTAGCACAGTGGCCACCAACCAGTAGATCCAGATGTACTGGTAGATCTTGGAGCCTTTGACAGGTGATCCTGACAGGTTTGGCAAGGGGGCTGTCAAGTGCCAGCACTTCATCTGCCCCTCTCAGCACTGCTGTGCTACTCCTGCCCTCTGCCTTGGAGGTGCCCCTCACCCCAAGAGGCTCCTGCTTGCTGTGCAGGGCACAAGAAGGGGGGGGGGGCGCTGATATCACGGTGCCCCTCCCTCCATCCTGTACCACATCTCCACAAAGCAAAGGGGAGCAGGGATGGAGAGAGTTTGCTGGCTGCTTTGGGGAGTGGTGCAGGGCCAGGATAGGGGTGAGCCTGCCTTAGCCCCACTACACCACCACCCAGAAGCGACCTGTGGTAAGTGGTGCCCAGCTGGAGCCTGCATTCCAAACCTCAGACCCAGTCCTGAACCCCAAACCCCTACCCCCAGCCTGATAAAAGTGAGTGAGATTGGGGAGGGAGGATGGAGTGAGGAGAGGTGGGGCCTTGGAGGCGGGGCAAGGATGTGAGGTAGATCCTGGTTTGCACTTAAATTCAGAAAGTGATCTCATGCTTAAAAAGGTTGGAGATCCCTAGCACTTGCAGGAGCTAGCCTTTACTGTATTGCGACAATACACAGAAGCTCTAAGCAGAATTAGGGCCTCCTTGTGCTAGCTGCCCTGAAGACCTGACCGTCCTTTTTCTACTCCAGTACCAGTTATTGGACCATGCAGTTAAAGAGATTCATGACAATTCTCCACGCCCTCTAAAATTATACCAGAGACTGATAGTCTTCCTTCACTAAACAGCCACACTAACTAAAATCTGGCTTAGTGCTCTATCCCTTTTCCATGCCATTGTCAGGTTTATAGAGCAGTCACACTGTACTTCTACATCACACTTTTGCTTTTGAATGTATCTAGTTGCAATGCTCACTTCTGAGAATTGTTGTCAGTGGCCTGAAAGACAAGCAAACAATTTTAAGTTTGTCATTCTTCCCTCCTGGTTGTACTAAGTATGTCTACAACTGATTTCTCTTGTCTAAGTTCTTGAATTTGAGAATTTACAATCTCCACAGTAAAACCTGTGTAATTGTACTTAACTTGCTTTGCCAATAGGTGGGCACTGCAGCAATCAGAAGACATTTATTCCTCCCCAGTGCATGATGTACAGAGACTTCCAATAATCCGGCACCTTTGGGACCCTGGGGATGCCAGATTATCGAATATGCCGACGTATCAGGAGGTACTCTGGCAGGGGGGCTGTGACGGATCGGGCGGGAAACAGCGTGGTGTGGGGCAAACCGGGTGCTGGTGAGGGGCAACGCTGCAGGACCAACCCGGCAGCACCCCAACTGCTCTGGCACACAGCTTCCCCAAGTCCGCTGCTGGTCAGTTTCAGCAGTGGTAGACTTGGGGAAGCCGTGGGACAGCTGCCCCTCACCTGAGCGGCGCTGTGGGACCAACTGGGCAGCACCCCAGCTGCTCTTCCCCACATCCGCTGCTGCTGAAACTGACCAGTGGCGGACTTGGGGAAGCCCTGGGGCAGAGCAGATGGGGTGCTGCCGGGTTGGAGAGGGGCAGCGCTGCAGGACCAACTGGGCAGCAACCCAGCTGCTGTGCTCCACCCCACTTCCCCAGGTCTGCAGCTGGTCAGTTTCAGCAGCAGCAGCGTCAGACTTTGGGAAGCAGTGCAGAGCAGCTCCAGTTGTCTGGGTGGCCAGATCACTTCCAGGTTCCTGTTGGTGCCAGACCACCGGATGCCGGGCATTTGGAGTTTTACTGTAGTGCATTCTACCTTCATCTCTGATGAGAATATCTTCATGGGCCAGTTTTCCTGGAAAGGGATTTAGACTCTTAAATCTCAGTTTGTAGTACAACCAACACTTGTAGATTATACATTTCATTAAACCCATGCTACATCATAAGTATACAGCTGTTTGAATCATTTTAATTTTATTTATAGTTAATGAAAATATTTTCATTTAAGTTGTAAAAACCTTGGTTTTAAGTTGGCAAAAATTCAGGGTAAGTAATTTGTGTCAGATGCAATACAAGGATACATCTTGCTGCACTCACAGTCAACTGCTGCACAACCAATTGCAATAGTTAATTTACAGGATACATTGCAATATGATTCTATGAAGATTGAACTAAAGCTCTTCTCAGTGAGCTAAAGCACTTTTGGGATTAGTATGAAATTCATGCAACAAGTGAGTTAGAGGAAACCTACTTTACGGCTGCTAGACAAACAAAAGAGATTTCAAAGTATTAAGTGGCTTGAGTAGTTGCTTCCCTCCTAAACATGAAAGTTTATCAAATATTCTGAGGTTACATTTCTCATTTTCCAACAAAAGAACAGCTGATTTCTTTCACAGATTATTCAGTAATGTGTATTTTCAGAAATAGTATGTAAGTATTATCCTCTTAGTGGAAATACTTAGGAAATGAGTTTTAAATCTGCATTTAAATATTTTATAAGGGAATACTCATTGTTTGAGTAATGTCAAAGTGGAGTAAGTATTTTAACTTGCTTGACAATGTTAGATATTTTGTAATCTGATAAAGACCTCTAAATCAATTCCTTTGATATCAGTGAAAAGACTGGCCTGATTTTTGGGGTTTTTTTTCCCCTCAATGAGTTGTCGTATTCATATATTTCATTGCTAGCAAAAAGATACAGATAACAGGCTTTCATTCTGCACACTTCAGATTTTGTGTTTGTCACACAATTACTGTAATGTAAAAGAAATGGCATCAGATTGTAATTTTGTCCAAAAGCAAAGGTAATTGTCTCATCCATTAGATTTGTGAACCATGCATAAGGAAAGTGACTTTAGCAGCTATTCTGCAAGCTAAGTGAAAATATTAACCAGCAGAAGCCTTCTATGTTGAGGACGTAATACAACCTATTGCTTTTCAACAACTCTGCAATATTCATCATGCTATTTACTCTCCTCATTGTAGAGTAGCCCCAAAATAAGGAGGAAATTGATACCACATTCTAGTGTGCAGACAACTCACTAAAGTCATTAAGTAAACAGTTGACAGTTTTTTACATTAATATTTCTTGATACCTTTTCATTGACAAATTAAAGTTGCATCTTAAGGCGCTGTTCATTTTCAGTGGGGAGCATATTAAACAGGTATGACTTATTATTAATGTATATCTTTAATAAAGCATATAGATTTTGCTTTCAGGCGCTTTAAAAGGAAAATACAAAATGTTCAATTCCAGTTCAGAAGCATTAGCTATTCACAAGAAGTACTGCAGTAAGGGTAAGCACCAAACCCTTGCACTTGGCAGTGTAAATGATAAACAGGTTTTATGGCAAGACTTGTGTACCAAGTGCAACAATTTAAAAAATTACCAGTGTTCAGATCAATCGGCAGCAAATGGCATAGCACCTACATGGTCAAAATGCAGATAGAGAAATGGTTTCAATTTTGTTTCCACAATATTAAGTTTAGAAAGTGCCATTATTTGTAACTACCGATACATTACAAAAACTTCAGCAACAGTTTTGGCACTTGTTAGGAAAAGTTCAAAATTATAAATAATTCTAATTTGCGTTTGGATTTAATATGAGTAATAATGGGACATACAACCAAATTTAGGATCAAATGTTAATCAACACACTTTAGGAAACTCCAAACCATTTGTCAACCTAAGTAACCACTAGCACTTTCAGGAGAGGGTTTTCAAAAGTAAAATAGTACAGAGCATTAACAATTTACACACAAAAGCCACACTGATTGTGCAAAACACATTACTGTAAAAAGTCCATGTACAGCAAACAATTCTTTGTAAACATGGTAAGTATGAATTTTCAGAAAACATGGTGGCAATATATCAAATACAGGCAACATTGGCATCCTTAAACAGCACAAAGGTAACATTCCGGGCCTGTGACTACAGCCCATCACCATACAAACAAAAAGGAGTGAATGGGTTTTAAACACCCAAATGTTTAATAGTATTAGTGTTGTATATTTTATATATATATATTTTATTTTTTGGTATCTTTAGATATAGATGTACCTAAGTTTGTAGAAAAATGGGAACATAAATGTGCTTTTATCTTCACTGAAAAAAATTTATATGTAGTTAGAACTAAACCCCCACTTTACTAGTAGTTAACATATTAGAATGGCATTATGATTTAAGAAAATACAAAAATAAGATTAATACTGTCAAAACTTTATACCAGAAAATATGATTTAAACTCTTTTAAAGATGAAATATGAACATTTTTAAATAAGCTTTAACTATATAAAGAATCTTCTGTAACTTCAATTAATATACAATGGGATAACTATACATATATATTTATTTTTTCTTTTTCAATTTAAGCACCAGTCTCACGCGCCTGGATCCACTTTGGTTGGAAGTTTATTCCAAATTCCACAGGTTCACTTTGTAAGGGCACATAATATTTTAAGTATCTGCTACTCAACATTTTAATCTAGTTTTTCTTCGGAGCCAGCTCACAGTTTTTACCCTAAATGTAGCATCTGAAATAAGACTTTAAATATATGCCAAGTAGTCTTTTAGTTATAGTTTCATACATTTAAGGAGCACTGTGGGGGTAATGCCTTTGGCCAAATGTAGAAGTATCATATTGTGTATCTGAAAATCAGTGTAGTCATATCCACATAGATACCATCTACCTTCAGCAGCCCAAAAAACATTTGAAACAAATTTGAGTGATTCCAGCAGCTCTACATTTACATTAATGAAATTACTGCAAAGCGCAGTTTTGCAGTGGTTTTTGCAACACTTCTGTAACAAACCCACTGTGCGGCATGTTAAAAGCTGCTGCCCCACTTCATTAAAAAAGTTGTCACAGGCTGTTTACTTAGAATACAAAGACTTTACAACTTGTCCATTATAAATCTAAACAAGAACAGTGTTGAGCAAAAGCAACCACTATATTTGCTAAAATAGTCCAAGGATTTTAGCAGGTGTTTAACTATAAATCTATATGAAAATAGCTATAAAATAGTGTCTTGCATGGTACTCTTAGCAATTTTTAAAAAGGGGGTTGAAAAGTAAAGATAATATACACATTTTAAAAGCATTTCATATCTCAGTTTCTGACTGTTTTGTGTACATTTAACAAATATATTGGCTGTTTGCTCAACACTGTAAAACAATTTAAAACCTATGTACATCACCATAAAGTTTTCACTCCACATATTAAAAAAAAACAACCCAGAACACAGCCAATACACAAAGGGGAAACAAAGATAATATACATAACTTATAAGACTGTTTGGCCCTATGATGAATCTTTCCAATATAAAAAAGCATTTAGTATTGATGCAAATAAGATGGTCTGCGTTCGTGCTTTACTGGAAAAGATTTAAAGCCCTTATTCAGCTGTTTGTGCTGGGGAGTCTGCTGCTGTGGTGAGTGTTGCTGCTGAGCATAGGCAAAATTGGAGGAAATCCCTGTTGATGGAGCACAGTCATTGGCTGTAGACCAAACTGGTGACTGTAAAATCTGCATTGTGTCATTCCACTGACTGACTGGGTTACTCATCTGATACAAAGATGTACTCTGATTGGGCAGTGTATTTGTGATGGATGTAGAATGCTGCCACGGAGCCTTAGGAGGCCAGGTTTTGGTTTTATTATCCTGTGGAGATAGAATTGTCAGGTTTGATTTTGCAAATCAAAATACTTTCTTTTGGAACTGTGTAAATCTTAGTTATAGTAAGGAAAGACAGGAAAAAAGTTCATTTTTTATACTTGTATAATAGGTACCCTTTTTCCTAGAAAAGAAGTATGTTGCAAAATCATTCATAGGGTTTCCATAGGTTTTTCCCTATTTTTGTTTATAAAAATTCTATGGAATCATTATGCTAAAAAAATTACTACTGGCTTAAAGGAGGCATATGTTCAATATCCAGACTTTCTTCATGAAATATCCTGAACACATTTACAATTGGTAGAGCTCTACTACATCTTTATAGGGCAAAGACTAATTTGTTTCAGTTATCATTTATGTTGGTGGTCAGTCTCATTGTCTGGCAGCTCACTTCACGGTGTGATTCATTTCCCTATTCATTTCTCACTTTAAAAAAATTACCTGACAGCAAAGCAGTATTAACCCTGCATCTATGCCACACTAACGTGCCATTAGCACACCCTGATAAACATACCACTTGCTGTGGTTTGTCATCAACATATCAGGGGAAGTGAGGGGAAAAGAACACTACAAGAAATCAGGAAAGCCACACACTTCCATTCTCCAGCAACCAGGAACATGAGTCCAACAGGAGGGAAGCAATGCGGCTTCAACTGATTGAGCTGCTTCTAGTCAATTTTCCTTTTTTAAATTGTTACTGTTTATGTACTGACAAGAAACAGGGCAAAGATGCTTTGGAAGACGTTTTGTGCCAAGCTTTAGATTTCACTTACATTGAACATAATTTTTGGTATTGATTCAATTCAGAAGTTACAACAACTTAAATCTTGTGAGCAGTCTGAGGGTACCTATCAAGTTATCTAGTTTTTCTTCTCTTGATAGATCATCTTCATTAATATACAGAAAAAAAACCCCAATTTTTAGCTTACCTGATTAAGATCATCTACAGTGGAAAGAAGAGGTGGCGATGGTAGTGTGCTAGGTTCCTGCTCACCACTACTATGTTTTCTGCAGAAAACAACAGATTGACATGCAGTTTGCCATCATTTAAAAGTACCTCTTTTTCACCTACTGTAATGTGTAATTCTTAAGATGACAGACTGACTGAAAGATGAGATGAAAATTGTTTATTTTTCCTGAACATCTGACAGCTCTGTGTGTGCGTGTGTGCGCATTTTCATTCTATGCATCTTGTACCCAGTAAAGGGAAAGAAACATTAACTGTAAGGTTCCTGTTTCCTTAAAACAAAAGCTGGCAGGTAGATTCTGGGATAGTAGTTTCTACATTTTAACTTTAAAAAACAGTAGTTATAGGAAAACATCTTGAAATCAGTCACCCACCTTTTTCTGTCCTCTTATATATAGTAAAGTACGTATGTCAAACTGAGCTGTGTTCTGTGTACTCTTAAATTGGAGCCAAAGTAATCACAGAATACTAGTTCTGGAAGGGACCTCAAGAGGTCATAGAGTCCAGTCCCCTGCCCTCATGGCAGGACCAAATACTGTCTAGACCATCCCTGATAGACATTTATCTTACCTACTCTCAAATATCTCCAGAGATGGAGATTCCACAACCTCCCAGGGAAACTTATTCCAGTGTTTGACTACCCTGACAGTTAGGAACTTTTTCCTACTGTCCAATCTAAACCTCCCTTGCTGCAGTTTAAGCCAATTGCTTATTGTTCTATCCTCAGAGGCCAAGATGAACAAGTTTTCTCCCTTCTCCTCCTGACACCCTTTTAGATATCTGAAAATGGCTATCATGTCCCCCCCTCAGTCTTCTCTTTTCTAAACTAAACAAACCCAATTCTTTCAGCCTTCCTTCATAGGTCATGTTCTCAAATCTTTCATAAGTATAGTAATACAAATCTTTCATAAGTATAGTTTAGTTCCCAAGCTCTGCAGATGCTATATGTTACAGCAAGTACAGAGTTTGGCTTGTTTCTGGTGACAGAAGTGAACTGAATTAACTCACTTACTAAAAAGATTCGGTGTTAAAATTTGGATCCCACTATAGTAGCGCCTCTCTATCAATGGCTGATTTGATCAGAGCTTCTTGAACCCAATTTTAACACAGTATTAACTTACACCCCTTATTTTGTTTAAGCAGCTATAATTTAATCACTACTTATAGAAAGTTCTAATTTAAATGCCCAATTGCTAGTGATCATAAGAACAGCCATCCCAGGACAGACCAATGGCCCATCTGGCCCAGTATCTTGTCTTCTACTAGATGCTTCAGAACTGTGGTTCTCAACCAGAGATACACAGAGGACTTCAACACCTTTCCATATTTGCCTACTTTTACAATAGGTGTACAAAAACACACTAGCAAAGTCAGTATCAAATTTAATGAAATGAGTATACAGTAAAAATGAGAACATATGCAATTTTTCGATAATTGTGTTCTGTGATGCTTTTGTATTATGCCCAATTTTGTAAGCAAGTACATTTTAAGTGAAGTTAATTGGGGGTATGCAAGACAAATCAGACTCCTCAAAGGGGTATACAGTTATCTGGAAAGACTGAAAGTCACTTCTTCAGAGGGAATGAACAGAATAGGGAAATTGCTGAGTGATCCATCCAGTCCCAATATTTGTCCATCAGTCTGTCTTAGGGACACACACTGCATAGGGTTGCATCCCAGACATCTTGGCTAATAGCCACTGAACTTATCTAATTCTTTTTTGGACCCAGTTATACTTTTGGCTTTCACAACATCCCATTGCAATGTACTTCACAGGTTGACTCGTGTGTGTGAAGTATTTTTTATGTTTGTTTTGAGCCTGCAGCCTATTACTTTTCATTGAACTGCTGGTTCCTTTATTAGGGGAATTAAATAACTCTTATTTGCCTTCACACACCATTCACAATTTTACAGACTTCTATCATATTCCCATTAACTGTCTCTCTTCTAAAATGAACCGTTCCAATGTTTTTACCCCCTCCCTCCCCCCCAATATGGAAATTCTTCCATATCCCACATCATTTTTATTATCCTTCTCTACATTTTTTGCAGTGCACCAGAACTGTGCACTCAGTATTCAAGGCGTGGTATACCATAGATTTGTATAGTGGCAATATGATTTTATTTCTATTTTATTATCTATCCCTTTCCTAATAGTTAGCTTTTTTGACTGCCGCCGCACACTGAATGATTGTGTTCAGAGAACTATTCATAATGATCCAAGATCTCTTCTGAGTGGTAACAGCTAATTTAGACACCATAATTTTATATGTATAGTTGGTTGTATTTGTTCCAGTGTACATTACTTGATCTGATTCTGTGAGTGTTATACAAAATGGACAGAGCACCAGATGACCTCAGCAGGTTGAGCACATTACAGTTCAGTGGGCCCCCAAATATACATTGAAAATTGGAAATTTGTGAAACCCAGAAATACGATTTCTCCAAAGGTAGTTCTGTATAAGGAGCGAAGGCAGTCCCATATACTCTGCTTGGGCCTGTAGCACATTTGATCATTGTTACTGACAGATCTAGTAATAGCAATAGGAACTGATCTTTATCCATCTGCAGGAGATTTGACTAGTGCAGTCTGCGAGCCATAACTAGGTCCTGAAAGTAGCTTGACAAAAGTCAAAGATTTGAAGCACCTACATACTCAGAACTGTATCAGTCTTCTCCACAATCTTAACCAGAAATGAAAGATTACAAATAGGTCTAAAGTTGGCAAGACTGGCAACGTGGAGTTGTACATATGCTTTCCTAAAAGTACTTCCAACTATTTTTTTTACTTAAGTGTGTTACACTATTTATGTGTAACTATTTTTAGTTTCCATTATCCTTATGCAGTATCTCTTACATCTTAATCTTTGCCAATACCATTATGATTCTTTCAGTATAAAATAAATTTCAGTGCTGTAATGTTATAAAGAACTTGATCCTAAATTGTATCAGTCAAACTGTTGTGTACTCTGTCTCTTTGGGGAGTGTTTACCTGGTAATTTCTTTGAGTGTCTGATGATAGGGGCTGGACATCATAGGGAGCACTCTAAGGTTAGTGTGTCTATATTACTAGCCTTTACAAAGAGGCCAATGAGTGACATTGAAGTCAGTACTTGTATGTGGCCAGATGCTGGTGATTTCAGGAAGTTGAAACCTTTACATATGAAAAAAATGTCCAACTTTTACCAAGTCCTTTGCAAATCATCTTTTAAAGCATCAACAGCACTCTTCCCTGCTCTTGTATAGTTTATCGTATTTTAGATAACTGTCATGATACTTAAAGCTATGGATAGGCACTTATTTCTAAAAAAAATTAAATAAAGTAAATGACTGTAAGCTATTTGCTGATATGAGCAAGAAACACCAGCATTATAGACTAGCTATTTTTATGACACATACATGTAAAGATGTGTAGGATTTTCTACTTTCTATTTGGAACATTCTAGTATCAAAAGTCTGTTAAGGAGTTCTGTCTTCTCACTCTGTCCCCTGTATCTCCCAAAATGATCCTCGGAGTAGACTGATATCAATGGGATTATCAGAATGAAGAAATAAATCTGTCATTATAATGTATGCTGCTATATTCTCTGGCAGCTTGCTTCCCTGGTTTCACTCTTCCACATTCAGCTGCTCCTTTTTTCCCTACGACTATTTATTGACATTCTTTTTCATATGCCACTCCCTTCATTCATGCTGCTGCCTCTGGTGCAGAGGCACCAGTTCCAACCAAGCACTGGCTCCTGCCCGCCCCCCCCCCCCCCCCCCACACACACACACACACACTGCTGCACACCTCCTGCCCTTTGCCTTGGAGCTGTCCCCCCACTCCCACTTGCTGTGCAGGGCAGGAAGAGGAGGGGGTGCTGATATCGGGGTGCCCCCTCTCCCACACTGAAGTCTATCTCCACGGGGGGGGGGACACAACAGGGCTTGAGATGGAAGGAGTTTGCTGGCTTTTAGTATGGTGCAGGGCCAGAGCAGAGTTGAGCCTGCCTTAGACCCACTGCACCACCTGTGGTGAGCAGTGTCTAGCTGGAGCCTGCATCCTGAATCTCTGCCCCAGTCATAAACCTCCTCATACACCCTAAGGCCCTTCCCTAGTCCTCCTTCCTGCACCCCAACTCCCTGCCCCAGGCTCAGCTCAGAGCCCCTCACACTGCAAATCCCTTAACCCAAGACCAGAGCCTGCATTCCAACCCTCTGCCCCTGACGGATGAAAGGGAAGAAGGATGGGGAGGGAGAGAGGATGGAGTGAGCAGGGATGCAGCCTTGAAGAAGGCACAAAGGAGGCAGGGCAAGGGTATTTGGGTTTGAGGTAGATCCTGGATTACACTTAAATTCAAAAAAGTGATCTTGTGCTTAAAAAGGTTGGAGATCACTGATCTAACTTTCTAAAAGAGGTCTCTGATGTTTGGTTCTTGGTTCCTTAAAATGTCAGGTGTAACTCCTATGCTTTGGACATTTCAATCTATATCCCACTCCATTGTTCTGACCTTTAACTTGCTTTCTGCATGTATTTAGCCTTCCCCACTACTTGCTCCACCATGCTTCCTTTAGGGCAACACATCCAAAACAGACATCAAAGGATGACACTCAGAATTTAGCAATGTTGCTATTGGCTTTCAGCACTCTACCCCCAAAATAGGTACATTTACTTATATTTGCATATTTTGTCTCGAAACTATCCAGTGGCTATATTATGGGAGGTTATTAAAAATATGTTCAGCCAAAGCACTAGTATTTGCTAGTAGTTTAGGTACCAAAAGGCAATCACGTGACATTTTAAAAACTACATATGTTGGGAAACTAATACTCAACTGGAGGAGGGACCAATGTCCTGATCCTCAAAGGCAGACTTCCACTCAATTCAGTGGGAGTTAAGCATCAAATACCTTTGAGGATTTGGTCCCTACTGCCTCAAAGAATTAATTTTTAAATTTAGGCCTCTTAATTGCTCATCTCTTAGCTACAGACTTCCCATGGGATCAGTCAAAAGTTTTAGAGGCACAGCAGAGCTTTCAACCCTTTAGAAAATGATGAGGTTGTGATTTATAATATAACAGGAATAATCTACTGCTGTAATTCATTTCTGAGATTAAACAAACACTTTGGCTCTGTTTTGGTTATTAATCAAGCTCATTCATGTCTTTGCTTTCTATGATACACATACAAAAAATGCAGTTGTGCATATAGAGAAAGAGGGACCAAGTTCACAAGGCCACTTAAGATAAAGACAGGAAGGTTGTGGCCGATGTCAACATGAAGGGGGAACAAATGAAAAAACACACGGGCTTGACATGGTAAGAATGACAAAGTTGGAAGATTATCTTAGCAGCAGTATTTTGAGAATTATGGGGAACAAAGTTACAGCAGAGTCAAAGCCAGAATGAAGGAACTTACAGTATTCAAGATGCATAAAGAAGGTTTGAATGGGAATTTTAGCTTGAGATGAAATGTTGGAAGTGGTAGGATTTATACACATGAATCTATTTCGAGCCAATTTAAAGGGGTGAGTAACTGGGAAGACGGGGGTGTTTCCACAGTGACAGAGTAAGAGTTTGGCAGGGTAAGTTTAAAAGCTTCCTTTTGTACACTTTGGGTGCATCTAGACTGGCAAGATTTTGCACAAAAGCATCCATGCCCAGTATAGACGCGCTTTTGCGCAAGAAAACTCCAGTGGCCATTTTAGCCATCGGGCTTTCTTGCACAAAAAATTAAGGTGCCTGTCTACACTGGCCGCAAGAGGGCTTATCCCTGAGCGGGAGCGTCAAAGTATTTGCACAAGAAGCACTGAATTCTTACATTAGAACATCAGTGCTCTTGTGCAAATTCAAGCAGCCAGTATAAACAGCTGGCAAGTTTTTGCGCAAAATCAGCTGCTTTTGTGCAAAATCTTGCCAGTCTAGATGCAGCCTTTGAGTTTGAGATAACAAATGGACATTCAGGAAAAGATATCAGAAGGATACTAGATTGGAGGAGATGACAGCCAGATAGCAAGATTTGTGAGTCATTTGCATACAGATCGATAATCACAGATCTATGAGACTAATGTAGTTACCAAATTTCAATTCATGCAGTTGTTTCAAAGTCCTACCAGTTGAACTCTTCACACGAGATTCTCCCCTTACCTTGTCACTCTTTTATGAAGTTAGGATTGCAAATATTCAAGTGGCACATATTTATATTAACTCATCTCTGCTCACCTCCTTTGTTTGACGGCAGCAACAAGGTCCGGCCCTGAGAACATGGAAAACAAACTGTCTCCATTAGCTGAGGAAGTCTCATCACTTGAGCTGGCTGAGTCTCCTTGATTACCGGACCAGCTATTTGACACATCACTGAAAGAAAATAGGAAGTCAATATTCAATACTGTCCTAACTGGAGTACCTGCCATGAAATGTTAATGGATTTTACATTAAAATCTGAATGTTAGAAATTTCAACCTGTAGGTTAAACCCTAACTCTGAAGAAAGTAAGAGGGGGAATACTTTTGAATGATAAGTTTCACTGATAGTTATTATAGTAATGGTTCTGCCTCCATTCTAAGTTATGAAGAAAATTGCTCATTCATTCATATATACATATTCTTATTATAGGCACGACCATACCCTCTCACTCAGAAGATCCAAATCATACTTGGTTTAGGAATTTCTGAAATAGTTCAGACATTCCATTTCAGAATTAGATGAACAAGGATTCTCTATGTGGTGGCTGCAAACTGGGGGAAGAGAGAAGGTGGTGTCACAAACAACCACTTTCCCTGCCTATGTGTACAGCTGGGAAGGGAATCCTGAAACTTTTTTATGTTGTAACATGAGACCCCGGTATGAAAAGGCTAAGAACCACTGAACTAGAAAATGCTTAAACTCTCGCGGCATGTAAGGAACAATTAACTCACACTGGTTGATTAAACAGCTCTTACTGCTCCACAGTAGCTGCATAAAGTTGATAATGTCTGGGAAGCTCAATGCAATCCTCTGACATATCAAATGACTTTATAACATCAAGACTGATGTTGAATATCCTTGGCCTTTAAGACGTTAAAATAAACTCGTTTGAATTAAGGTTTGCTGTAAGCCTATCCCTTCTTATGTTGAGATTAAAAATAACCCTGTATAAATACAACTGTCCTAAAATATTGGTTTAAAGGAGGTTTCAGGCGAATGCCACTTCAAAATCAACAAATCAGAAAATGGTGAAGCCTACTACCTTAGAAAGTTATGTAACTTTTAGAAAAATATTACAGCGTTAGTCCAATATAGCAATGGCAGTTAACAAGGTATCAAAAATACCCAATAATTTACAGCATCTTTCCACTATGTTTAACTTGAAAATACAGTGGACTAGAACATAATGTCCAGGTTGATGCTAGCATAGACTCACTTACCCTTCTGTGAAATACTCAGGAAAAGGCCAAGTTCGGTGAGGATCATCAGGAAGAGGCCAGTTGCTACGTGTGTTGCTTGGGCGACGGATGTGCTGTGCTTGCCTTTTTTGTTGCATAGCCTGGCTGACCCCGGCTACATAGCGGGCAAACTCTGGATCAGAGCCCACTGAATGTACAAAAAGAAATCTGAGTGTCAGTTGCTGACACATTCAACTATTTCTGTTGTAATTATCCCTTAATTTAATCCTTTCACTTGGCCATCTATCTTAAAACAAAACAAAACACCCTAACAATGAATACCAGTCACCATAGTTAACTGTCACTGAAGCAATAAACAGAACTAGATAACTGAAAACAATCACATACTGACAAAGAGGTACACAGTATCTCCAAATACTGAATAAGGGGAAAGAGGAAGTTACTGACCTGTAACTTGGAATCTATCAAGCAATTGTATATAGGCATTAGTAGCTGGTAACTGACTATTGTGAACTGGAGGCTAGATGAGGTAAAGATCTTTCTCTCCCTACCTCCCCAACCAGATTCAGGTGTTAGCGCTCTTTATCCATAGGTGTAGATGTAGCAGTCTAGCCCTTTCAAAAGCAGTCTGGTCCACCAATAAGTTGGGAGTGGGATGAGAAAACAAAAATTCTGCTGTTTGAGGGGTGAGAGTGCCAAACTGTCCTCGCTGGCTCCAGAAAGACCTCAACAATGGGAAGTGCTATTCTGTTGGATTTAGATCAATGGAGGATGTCTAAGAGTTTGTGATGGGAGTTCTCAAACTCTGCAAACTGTCAGAACTATTTACAAAGCTAGGCACGAGGTGAGCAGGGCACATGTGCAGACTAACAGACACTACTTTCAAATTCTTCAGTTCCAAATACATGGTACAGATATGTAACTCACAATGGAATACAATAGGAACCATCACTCAAAGAACCACCGTATAGTTAGCATTCGTACCTCATATGGGAAAGGAACATCAATGAACTTTTTGCTGCTATTGTTCTACGGCTACTGTTTTTAAACTACAAATATCCAAAAATGGTATTGTCAACAAATCATTTGATGGTCTCAGTGCAGATTAGCTCATTTTAAACAGACCATCTGAACAACCATTAACAAGTGAAAACTTTTCAGCCCTACCAACCTAAGCAGGTTTTGAATCGGTAACTCAAAAGTCAAAGGAGAGCCATAACTAGGCATTTCAGCATGTAGGGTGAGCAAACATATTTGTACCTCCTATTGTTTTTTATTTTTATTTTTTTGCCAACTCAGCTTTGTGCCCTGGGTATCTGCCCTACTCTGAGGGCCCTGAATCAGAGATTCAGCATCCCATCCGTGCCCCTTGAGCCTTTGAATTAAAGCCCAAATCACGGGCTATGTCTACACTCGCGGTTTCTTACGCAAGTACAGCCGTTCTTGCGCAAAAATCTGCAGTGTCCACACTGTCCGCCCGCTCTTGCGCAAGTAAATTTACAGTACGGCGTGGTAAGAGCGCTCCTTGCGCAAGAGCTCTGCTCTTTTTTGACAGGTATAAGCCCTCTTGCACAGGAGCTCTTGTGCAAGAGGGCAGTGTGGACACTCAGCAGGGATTTCTTGTGCAAGAAAGCCCTATGGCTAAAATGGCCATCAGAGTTTTCTTGCGCAAGAAATTGTCCACACTGCCACGGGCGCTCTTGCGCAAAAGCACAGCTCGCATATGGCAGTGTGGACGTTTTCTTGCTCAAGAGTTCTTGCACAAGAACACTTGCGCAAGATGTTCTTGCGCAAGAAGCCGCGAGTGTAGACAGCCGTAGCCAAGGCTCACAATGGGGATTTCAAGAAAATAGCTATTTAGGCACGTAGAGAGTTTAAAATTCATTATCAGTAGATGGTCTTTAGAATCCTACCCTTTTGAAATTTGATTTAGTATTCTAAAGCTGTTAAGTGGTGTGATTTTGAGCACAGCACTAAATAGCTTTAAAAATCTGGGCCTTAACCTCTTTGTACCTTAATTCACTATCCTGTTAAAAATAAAGGATGCATAGATGTTAATGCCAACTGACCTTTGTAAAATATCTGGAATCCACTGATGAAAAGCACTGTTATCATTACTACCAACATTTAAAATAGTCTTTACTTTGTAAAAAAGTATGCGTAAATTTAATTATTCAAGGAAAAGGATACACACCTGCAGGATCAAAAGGCAGAATTTCTCCCAACATACCAAAGACTCCATCATTCTGGTCACGGTTCGGCCACGTGTTATTTCTAGGTCCTTGTGGTTTTTGTCCTAACATCTCAGACATCATACTATCCATATAGCTGCTCACAAGACCCAAGCTATACAAATCAGAACTCAGATCTGAAAAGCCTGGATTGTTCCATTGACTAATATGAGACAATCCAGCCCCAACTGCTTGTGCTGATTGCTGTGAAGAATTAGTCAGCCATTTGCCTGGTACACGCTGTTGCTGCGTTCCAATTGGTTGGAGAAGATGTTGATAATACTGCATTTGCTGCTGCTGCTTTTGTGACTGTTGTTGCTGTGACAATCCTTGCTGAGAAGGGTGCAGAGATGTATGAGAGACAGACTGTGGTTGCTGTTGCACTGTTCCCGATTTTTGTTCTGTTGACGTAGAAGATACAACAGAGTTCCTTCTTTTCACCAACGGAGAAGTCTGTTGGGATTTACCCATATTAAAACCAGACAAGAAATCTATAACATCCTGCATTTCCTGGTCAGTTGGTAAATTCATACCTTTATCATCCTTGCCATCATCTGCTTTGAAGAAATTATCACACCTTTCAACAAGAAATCCATTAACTATCTGGTTACTTGTGCTCTGAGTTGGCTGTAATGGATCTATAGTCCTCGGGAAATTACCAATGTTCAAAATGCTTTGTAACCGTGTGTCTATATTACTGGGCATTTTCACTTTTTCCTCTGCATTGTTACCTATGAAGACATTTTTGGAAGGTGTGCTAGGGATAGAGTAACTTCCACTGTTGCTTGAACTGGTGCAGGAAGTTTTCTTTGTAAACCGTGAAGTCAGTTTTGAGAAAGTCTTTTGCAGGCCTCCTGAAGACTTGCTTCCATTGCCAGATGGCATGTCAACTTGATTCCCAAAGTCACAGATCTCACGTTGTAACTGGATCTGAATACAGGGCAAAGCTTGCTCCCTGTTTCAACAAAAACATTTATTTCAAGCCATCTATTTCAAACATCTATTCACATCCTAATACAAAACACAACTCTATGACTTACCAAGACTACACTATCAGTCTGGGTAGTTTTCGGGAACTGAATAATTGAGTTTATGGAGGGGGAAAGCATTGAAAAATAGAGCTCTCCAGACAAATCAACCAAACTGAGCAATCATTTTCTTATTTGACAGAGTGATGCTGGCTAAACAGAGTGATGCTGGTATTGGTTAATCTGGTTGACTTGAAGTTTGGGGATATTTATGTTTTATTTTTCTGAATGTATTTTAATAAAGCTTAAAAATCTGACAGGCACACCCATGTCTTTGCAATAGACCAGCAGAGTGCTGTTCCAAATTTAAAAGAGTCTACCTACAGGCTACCCTAAATGTCACAAATTTCTTACCACTTATTCTGGCGTATGTACCAATTCTTTGCCGTCCTTCCCCCAAGGACACTACAATTTTTTTGAAATATTATACTGAGTTATTTTATGGACCGCAAAGAATTTTGATTTCTCTTAAACTTAAAAAGTAGAACATGAGGAAAATATGAGATATACCTTCCTTCCTTCCACCTGTTTATATCAAACACAGCAGTATAGAGCACATCTACAAGTCCCAAAGTCTTCTCTGGATCCAGACTCCTCTGCAATAAAGACATAGTTGCTGGATCTTCCTTCAGACACCTATAAACATTGAGGTTTTTAAAAAGTTAGCATTGAACTATTCCAATCAGAAATATTTAATATGTTGGAAAAGCAACAAAATGCCACTTATTATATGGTCATGCATTTGTGAAACAAATAAGGTGTTGTTCATGGATCGCTTAACTACTGCCACATACCACATAACACAGGGCAACCAAAATCACTATGGTTTGGGGGTAAGAACAGAGAATTACTACCAAGCAGTAATGATGAAATTCACAAACTGGAATGGACGGGTTGCACTCATGCTATAAAAATATTAGCAGCAGTGACCAAATAAGGACTCAGCATCTCCTCTTACTGACTTGCCTGTTTTCTCCCAGATGAAGTCACTTGTACCAGTAGGGCAATATTCAGTGCTGAAATAATTTATAGTGTAACAGAAGTACCTGCACTAGGCACATTTGACATAACCTTCTCACATGGGTCATAAGAATGGCCATACTTGGTCAAACCAAAGATCCATCTAACCCAGTATCCTGTCTTCCGACGGTGGCGAATGCCAGGTGCTCCCAGCGGAAATGAACACAGCAGGCAATCATCAAGAGAGCCCACCTCTTTCACCCATTCCCATTCATTAAATTCTGGTAGACTTGAGATTCAGAACCATTACTAACAGCAAAAATAACCTGTCTGAATTGTATGGTCCGCCACTCTGGAAGTGATGGGATCTCTATAACAATCCCACATCCTTAATTTAAAAAACCAAACAAATAAGAATATCAAGAATTGCTTTTAGAACATTGGAAACAATGTCCACAAAAACAAGAGTCCCTAGCTTGAAATGCTTACACAAAAGACCAAATGGCTACCTCAGCATCTTCTGCTGAGTTTCTGCAGTTTCAGGCCAGGAAGAGATTGAACCACCCTGACACAAGTAAGGAGGACAGAGACTCCATTGGGAGAAAGATTAAATCACTTGGAAAAAGGGATTCTAGAATCTCCCCAAATACTTTACTACACTCTGAAAAGATAATATTAAAATCTCTCTTTAAATTTTTAAAAAAAAACTCCTCACACTTTTAATGACAAGGGTTCTCTAATACTGGATTGGGAAAGAACTTTTTCACCTAAATGGAAACAGGTGACCAAATTAGGGTGAAAAGTTAACACACACACAGATCCTTGTACAAAAATAGTTGGTCTCTGCATTTTAAATGCTACTGGGCAGCTCTTTGACAGCAGTTCAAGAAGCTACTTAGGTATCTAAAATGTTAAGTTTTGAGGTTGTTTTGCAAATAAGGGGGTATTACTTCTGCTGTGGGACTAGCCACACACAGTTTATAGCTAGCACAGTGGTGCAGCTCAAGGGGGAAGAGTGCCTTGCCCACTCAGATAAAAGAATGGATTGAGAGAGAGACACCATGCTATCAGCCCCACATGGCTCTATGCAACAGAAAGCAGGCTCCCAGTCTGAGTAGCTCAGATGGAGGCAGCCTAGCTACTCCAAATGGCAGTAGTGCAGACCAGTGAAAGGAGGCGGGGGGAGGAGAGAGAAGGAACGGCAACATCTTTCCTCCTGCTTAACTTCACTCAAATGTGGTATGGAACTCGGGGGGAGGAGAGGAGCTCCATTTTCCCCAAATGGCACCCCTGAGGCCCAGATTACAAGGTACAAAGAAGTGATGCCCTGGGTCTATCTTTCATTTTAGGGACGAGCTACAGAGAGTTCACTAGTTCAAAAAGTAGGGCCTAACATTTCCAATGTAGTTCACAAGCTGTAGATATTGTTTGTAATACTAATTTATCAAAAAATAATTGAAGGTCCATTGATACTAGGAATTCCTGGAACTGGTGGCTGAATGATTACCCATACTGATGCTAAGTCTACAAATAAGATTTCACTGAGCCCCCAAAGTGCAGAATTGCCAAAAATCTAGCTATTTCTCCGGCCACAGAACCAGAATCAGAACTGATGTCACTTGAAATGGGACACAAGTGGAGAACACTGCTTCTTTTTGACAGTAATTAGGGAACAATTTTCCTAAGACAGAAAGGTTAAAGAGTTTTGTTTACTACCTCCAAGTGAAATCAGGAACCTAACAGCCTTATATCTGCCTATTCAGCACAAATAAAAGATGAGCCCTTTATCAGCTGCACTCCAGGAAGAGCCATTAAAGTCAATTTAGTAGATTTAGTTCAGAAAAGCCTTTCCTCGTTATCTGCAGATGTGATAAAGGAATAGTTACTTTGGTACATAAAATGATAATTTGCATTGCCCTGGAAGTACAACTGAGACATTGAAGAAATCTAGGGGCCAGAGACTCTTTATGGTCTGGAATACTTAACGTTATGATTTTACAGTTTTAGGGGGTAGCCGAGTTAGTCTGTTACAGAAAAAAACAACAAATGGTCTGGTAGCACTTACAGACTTAGTCTATAAAGTGCTACCAGACCATTTGTTTTTTTTTTTTTTAATATGATTTAAGATTTCCCTAAATATACTCGCAACCCTGAGAGGAAAGAAATAAACAGCTACCGTTCAAATGAACTAGGTGACCTGAAAATAAATGGGCTTGCCTTGCTACCACTAAGAAGGACATTCTCTACAACAAGGTAATCAGAAACCAGAGCCGCATCATGGAGAAAGGCAGCTACCAACTTCATTAAATGTAAGGTATTTGCAACAGACCTGAAATCAAAAAATGCTTTCTTTCACTTGCCAGAATCAAGCACCAGAAAGGTTCACAAGGAAACAGTTACCTGATCCACTAAAAATTCCACCCAACTACTTAAAGAGTTTTTTGAAATAACAACCATTGCCTTTAGCCAGAAGAGAGAAGCCCATACCCAGTGAGCAGTCCACCTGTAGAGTCTTCTCTCCCAATAGTATTTTGTCTAACAGAGAGCCAACAGCATTTCTGTGATTGACTTCGGCTACGTCTATACTGCAGCCTTCTTCCGCAAAAGCTTATGCAAATGAAACGTGGAATAGAATACTGCTGAGCTTCATTTGCATAATTAATTAGCAGCCGTTTTTGCACAAGAGGCTTTTGCACAAAAAGGAGCTGTGTAGACGGCAAGAGCCTTGCGCAAGAGCCGTTCTTCCTCATTTTTTCAGGAAGAACAGCTCTTGTACAATAGAGGGGTTTTGTACAAAAAGGAGCAGCCTACACAGCTCTTTTTTGCGCAAAAGCCTCTTGCACAAAAATGGCTGCTAATTAATGATACAAACAAAGCACAGCAATATTCTACTCCGCGCTTCATTTGCATAAGCTTTTGCAGAAGGCGGCTGCAGTACAGATGTAGCCTTAGATGTAAAACACTAATATCTGGATATGGTCAAATACGTCACTTTTAGGAATTGTTGCCTTATAAGTTTTCCCATTCCCTGTTCTTACACCACACACACACACACACACACACATAAAAAAGACCAATTTGCACAAACAGAAATCAGCCATGGGAAAACAATTCTCCGCTTTACGTTGTTTTGCTATACAGCCATGTTTTTTTAAACATAGCAGGGATGCCCGCCCTGTAGCATTTCTATCACACAATGAAAAGACAGAGCTCTATTAATGTTTGTCAGTAGGGGGAGCTCCTCCAAAGATTTTTAATTGTGGTTCAAGTTGTCTGCATCCTCTTTTTAGTTGTTTTCCAAAAATACAGCACTTTAAACAGTACTGCAATGAAAGAATATATCTGGAGGGCCAGTTTATAATCTGAAGGAATCAAAGAATAATTCACTTTTCTCTGCAGAGAGTGACTAGGCCATTCACACTTGAGAAAATGTCATATATACCACTACCGTAACTGCAGACTGTGTCCACTACAGGTTCTTAGACTCATCATCCATTCTAATCTGAAGTCATACATAGTATAGGAGGCACTACAACAAAAGGGATCTGAAAATGTGCAGCACCTCTGCTTGTTATTTCAAAAGGATGACAATATTTTGTCAATCTTGGCAATTAGAAAAATGAATTAGTCCATAGTCTACACTACTCCACATTCCACAACAATTTTCTGGAACAGTTTAGTGAAGTCCTAGAGTCCCTCACCTGCCAGATACTTGAGGAGGTCCTCTTACCCCCCTAGACTTCCTGAGACATGCCAACTCAGAGAAAAGAGAGATGATTTAGCAGTTCATACACTGAAGGTCTGTCAAGGATGAGTGTAATAAGGATCTGTTTGCCTTTCCTTTCCTCTGTTTAACTTTTACCATTCTTCCTTCTTTAAAAAAAACACTTGCGTATTTTAGTCTGATAGCACTGCCTCCACTGCTATTGCCTCCTGAAGAAGAGGAAATACTGGTAGCTAACAGAGAAGAACATGTAAAGAAAATGTTGGCACACTTGTCAGTCAATCCTACAGCAAGAGCACCACACAGCAGTTCCAGATTAGAGGAGCTTGATGAGGCAGATGCTATCACTGAATGTTACTTCCAATTCTATCACAATATTAGTTTTCCTATATAAAAAGTAAAATCATGCCTACTAGTGTTATCTGAAATACAGTATTTATTTACCAAGTTGATGGGACTTGCACCACAATTCTGGATCCTTCTAAACTAATCTGAGGAGCGTATGCTTCTTTATTTTCAATCTGCGCTGTGTCCACAACCACCTAAGCAAATAAAGTAATAATATTTAGTTCTTTTAAGAAAACTTTTAAAGTTGTTTTACCAACTGAAGTTCAAAATATAATGAAAACTGACCACAAACAGCTGCAGCAAAATATAATCGCAGTTTGATTTTTCCATTTTACTTTATCAAATGGTAGAATTAAGAATCTCTCAAATCAAGCATTTAAATAAACAGCAGACACTTAATTTTATCATCAACTACATTGTGTAGTCATGCCTCACCACATGAAGTATCAACTACTGCACTTCACATAGACACTACAATAGACGTCACACTTGGAGGCAAGGAATACTAATTTTCCCAACCCTCTCCCTCAGTAGCCTGCAAAACATTTTTTGGTGAACTCTTTTGGATAAAATTGATACTTAATTGAGATGCCTGAGATGAAAGACATGAACGGTATTTTAGTCTAAAATTCTAGATTAACCTGCAATTCCATAATTCTAAGATCCTATATACACAGTCCCTGCATCTGCCCATCCTTAATTTTATGTCATTATTAATGCCTTCCTTAGTGAGAAGGGGGAGATGGCCATCCGATTTGTTGAGTTTAGGTCCCACTCCATAAAATTTTGTTTCTAAAGCTCAGGGTCTGAAAATTACAATTCTGTCTTGAACCTTCCCTTTTGGGGGAAATTGAGGACTGGATCACATAAAACTCAATAACTATTTTGAGTAGGTTTCATATTTGATTCATGTTTACATTTGAGGTCCAGTCTTCACCCACATTTCAGTAATTTCTAATAATTTATTTTGGTTGTGCTGAAATTCCTAAAACATCTGAGTTACCATCAGATCTCATGTCAGTGACTGACAGATTAGCTGCATCATTTAACCTGGAAATGGCAAAATCCTCCATTGTAGAGAAGCCGTAAGGCAGGGGTAGGCAAACTCCAGGCCACGGGCTGGATCCAGTCTGCAGGATTAGTCCCTGGTGGGCCCTCACCTTTATGTTTACCTGCACCTCCGCAGGTATCAGAGGATTGCAGCTTTGACTGGCTGTGGATCGCCATTTATGGCCAATGCGAGTGGCAGGAAGTGGCGTCCTAGTCCATGAGACTTCCTGCCGCTCGCATGGACCAGAGCTGTGATCCTCTCATACCTGTGAAGGTGCAGGTAAACATAGCGGCAGCAGCAGTCCACCAGGGATTAACCATGCAGGCTGCCATTTTTTTATTGCCCACCCCTACCTTAATGGATTCTAGTGCCGTGTCTGCAATCCTCCTCCTCCATTGTTTCTGCTGTTATTTGATACATGGTCAGATGAAGCATTTGAAATGGAGGGGCCTGAAGTTGTTAAGATTCTGTCCCTTCCTATAGTGTCAAACCCACTAAAATTGCAGCAAGCCTAACTGTTCTGCCATTACCCACCCTTAGAGTGTTCCCATCACTGAGCATATTTGTCTCAGTCTATTCCTCTCTACTTGTAAACAACATGAGCACACTTTTTTAAAAAAAGAGGCCATTATCATTAGCCATATGACAATGCCATCCTGTTACTTTGTTTAGGTTTCAGAGTATTTATGAAACTTGAATTTATTTGACAAAGCTGTTAATTTATGCAACACCCATAGCTATGAGTATGACAGGATAAGAAAGGAAAGATTTATGAATGATTTATTCCTAGTATTCAATAGACAGATACCACCCCGCAACTTAGATTATGTAATTCAAAAGCAAATCTTGCTTCACTCAGACCCAATTTACAAACATAAAAAGTAATCCTCAACATTTGGCCAAGGTTATGATATTTTGGGTACAGAAATTACCAGAAGTTAGGATGTTGCTGTTATAACAACACTGTGCTAATGGCAGAGAGATATGCTAATACAAAACTACCCTGATTATTATTAAACTTTAATTTTATCCCCACCATACATGACATCCAATTAAGAAAAGTCATAGTTTGATTTTTTCCTGACAAACTAAAAAGAAAACATCTTAAATCCATGTGCTAGTGCTGTTCAAAAGGGGGAGGGGGATTCATTCAATCTGACAATAATATAGAAAAGCATTCACAAAATGCAGCTTCACCATTACTACAGAAGTATCAACTCAACAGGACTAACATCAATGTTTTGATAAGAGACTGGAACTCAGGCAATGCTACAAACAAATAAGTCACTGCTCATGTATAAACAAACATAGGAGATGGATTCTTAGGAAACGTAGTGCTGTGCTTTTGAATTTTCCTTTTGAAAAATTAACATTAGACTCACTCGGAGGACTGGTCAGCACTAGGAACTTATATCAGAATAGTTACAGCTCTCAAAGGTGCAAAAATGTACACACCTGAGAGCTGCACCTATGCCAACCTAACTCCAGGTGCAGACAGCATTAGGTTGACAGAAAAATTGCTCCATCAAAGTAGTTATCGCCTCTTGGAGAGGCTGATTATTATGCCAATGGAAAATCTCTTCCATTAATACAGACAGTGCTTCCATGTAGACATTAAGCACTATGGTTTACTCAGACATATCCTTACATTAAAAATAAAAAACAAAACTAGTATCTTTCCAATAATGCAGACCTGGACAGTCAAATTGGGTTTCCAGTTGCTTTGCATTATTGGAGCAGCACAAACAAAGCTGGACTGTACCATTGAATATGCAAAAATCCGGAATTGTCAATCACAATGGGCGGAGTTCAACCGAGTGCAGCATGCTAAATCTTGGTGAACATCAGAACATTTAAATATAGTTTGAAAATTTATAATGCAATTTTCAGAAGTGTTGAGTTGTCAACTTCAGATGATTTAAATCTGAAGATCAGGTACTTAACGTACAAATATTGAATACCTTAACTGTTCTTTTTCTCAAGGGGGGTAACTGAGTTAGTCTATAACAGGCAAAACTTAACACAACAACAAATAGTCTAGTAGCACCTTAAAGACTAACAAAACATGTAGATGGTATCATGAGCTTTCATTGGCAAAACCCACTTCTTCAGATGACCGGAGTATAATAAGTCCAGATCCAAGAATAAATAAGGGAAGGGGGGGGGGAGGAGGGAGACAAGGGGAAAGAAAAAGAAAGACTCTTCTGGGCCTGCCCTGAAGTAGTTCATGTCTGGGTACTTTTCTGGCTCTGTCGATCTTTTTTTTTTTTGCTTCATTGGGTGGGTATTTCAGTTTTAAGAATGCTATATATAGATCCTGTAGATGTTTGTCTCTGTCTGTGGGATTGGAGCAAGTATGGTTGTACCTTAGGGCTTGGCTGTATACAATAGATTGCGAAATGTGTCTGGGATGGAAGCTAGAGGCATGAAGGTAAGAATAGCGGTTGGCAGGTTTCCGGTATAGGGTGGAGGAAATTTGTCCATCATTTAATAGTACTGTGGTGTGAAGGTAGTAAATTTCTCACGTGGACTGATCCAGGCTGAGGTTGATGGTGGGGTGGAAGTTGTTGAAATCCCTGTGAAATTCTTTAAGGGTTTCTTTCCCCGTGGGTCCATATGATAAAGATGTCATCGATGTAGCATAAGTAAAGTAAAGGTCTTAGGGGGTGAGAGCTGAGGAAAAGTTGTTCAAGATCAGCCATAAAATGTTAGCATATTGTGGTGCCATGCAGGTGCCCATGGCTGTGCCACCGACTTGAAGATATAAATTGTCTCCAAATTAGAAGTAGTTGTGGGTGAGGACTAAGTACCCAGACAGGCCCAGAAGAAAAAACAACAGAATTCCACTTAAGACCTACAGTCCACAACTTAAACCCCTCCAACACATTATCAACAATCTACAACTTATCCTAGAAAATGACCCCTCACTCTAAGAGGCCTTGGGAGAAAGGCCAGTTCTCACTTACAGACAACGCCCTAGCCTCCAACAAATTCTTGACAGTAGCCATGCAACACGCCTCCATCATAATCATCCAGGAACCCACCCGTGCAGCCCCGGTGCCAACTCTGTATACCAGTGATTTCATCACTGGATCCAATGACATCAGTTACCAAATCAAAGACTCATTTAACTGCACATCCACTAATGTGATCTATGCTATCAAATGGCAGCAACGCCCCACTGCAATGTATATTGGCCAAACTGGACAATATCTATGGGAAAGATTTAATGGATACAAATCTGATATCCGAAAAGGCAACACCCAAAAACCTGTTGGAGAACACTTTAATCTTCCTGGACACTCATTAATGGATCTCCAAGTCGCTGTTTTGTTTCAGACCAATTCCACAAGCCAAATACACAGAGAAGGATTGGAACTTAACTTCATTCACATGTTTAATTCTTATGCTAATTGTCTGAAGGGGTATAGGATGGCTTGCACACTATCTTCCACCTTTTAATGATTTAAACCAACCAACCAAACAATGGAGGTGCTAATGGTTCTTAACAGCCTCTTGTAACTGTTTGCACTATCTACTCACCTGTCTCTTCTTCTTCTGCCCTTTTCCCTTCTCCCCCTCCCCACTTCTCTTATTTATTCTTGGATCTGGACTTCTTATACTCCAGACATCAGAAGAAGTGGGTTTTGCCCATGAAAGCTCATGATACCATCTAAATGTTTTGTTAGTCTTTAAGGTGCTACAAGACTATGGGTTGTTTTTTAAGTTTTTCTTGTTCTTTTTCGGTTATCTGACATAGTAAGACAATAAAACCCCAAATAATCAGTTTACAAGTTACACTTCATTTTGCTTTCCAATCTTTTCACAACATGTGTGGCCAAAATATATACTAAATATAGAGTAAACTAAAGCTTCATGAGACTGTCCTACGCTGTTTTATTTAGCACTTAGATAGCAAGTTAACTCATAAATCTCAGCCAATACAAATATATTAGTTTCTAAAAACAGTAAAATGAAGGGTATGCTATGCCTAACTCCTGATTCCTTTATCTGACTTTTGAAAAAAATAAATTCAAAATATAGTGAACACATGTTTCTCACACCCAACTTGATGGTTACTTAGGAAATAGCTTCCTGTTCATGGCACAGCTATTGTTCTTGTTTTACAGGTGTTTCCTCTCTCACCCCACCCAGAAAACACTCTAAAGGAAAAAAATAGAATCTGTCATCATCACATAAAATTGTATGTAAATGTAATTTAATTTTGCTGAATTATTTTTACATAGCACCACAGATGTGAAAGCAGTCGCTAAGCAAAAATGGCAAATCCAATCTTCTAAGAGATTACAGTGTCATTTAGAAGGAGAGCGCAGTAGGGGAAGGCATAAAGGCATAACAAACCAAGAGTAAGACCGGAGCATAAGAAGATAAGGCTTACAAGACTGAAAGATCTACCACTGCTTATTGTTATGCATCTTGGTAGTGTCTCCAAATATGAAAGGCCTCTGCTTTTAGATAACTGATGCCAGCAGCAAATAGAGTTATTCATGATTTTTACCAAGTTATTGCTAAAAAAGGGAAGTTTAATTTTGGCTTGGATTATACTCAAAAGAGTTCTATGACAATGTATCTCCCTGCTACCAGCATAGATCTCTCATAATAGCAACACTTTAATGGTGGCAGAGCTGCCCTTTTCTCCCCCAGCTGTGATTTCTCATACCCTACTGCTATTGAGCACCAAACTTCCTCTCCAGGAGAAGTCACCTAACCGCTCCCAAGAACAGCTCTGCCCCACTCTAACCCATCTTGTATCTAACATTTTTAAAGTATTTCTTCCTCAAACACACAATCAGAATGAGACAAATAAACAATCTTACTATACTACCACCACCACCACCACCTTCCTCTACACCCAAAAAGAAACCCTTCTGTGCTACATAGGTTCCTATCAGCAGCTATGTCAACTCTATAGTACTAAAATAAATGCTTTTATAAACTAAGAATGAAGGTAAGTCAAAGCCATTTACAAATCAGCTACTTCATTTGCCTATACAGATGCAATATCTGACCTTACAAAGATATGTAGCAATATGCATCTTTTTTATCAGCGATTCAAATCAACTTGATCATTCTGTGCTATGGTTGTACACCAAATAAAAGACCATTAACAGAGATTCAACAATTAGACTGAAGTTTGATTCTGTTACCTAGTACTGGCTTTAAAAGAAGTTGACAAATTCTTACACTTTTAAAACACACATCACTCATGTATTTCCTGTTGCATTGTTAAAAGAAAGCGGCTCCCATTTTACTGACCCAGTATATTGAATATTCACAATAGCCTAAAAGAAACCACTTATCATAAATAAACAGCAGTACACTTAATTAAATAAAAAGACTGCAATGATTAGTCATGCCATAGATACAATGTTTTCTTATGAAAACATCCAAATCTTAAAACAATATCCAAACTATTCTAAAAATATTTTACTGATGAATAGCACAAGTATTTCCATTGGAATTGGAATTGCCATTTTGCTGATATCCGAAGGGGAGAACATTTTACTGCCAATTAAACAGGAAATCCAGCTGAGTTGTGAAAAACAGGATTTTCAAAGTTGTTGTACAATTTTTTTTAATGTGGTAGTGTCCTGATTTTACCATGCATTAAAATGGGAGTTGCATTTCTTGTGTCCTAATCTACATTAGGTTGTAAAAACAGCAGCTTCCTATTTGATTTTAAAATTTCTGTAGGGATGTAAAATTACCTTTATTAACTGGCTAAATGTTACATTTAACCAGTTAACTGACTAAATGGGTGAGCGGGAGGGCTGCTGGCTCCCAGCCTAAGTGGGCAAGGAGTTGGTAGCCTCCAGCTGAGTAGGGTTCCAAGCCATCAGCAGGCTTGCGCTGGGCAAAAGTAGCAGTGGGACGGGGGAGGGAAGGAGTGGTCCCAGTCCTACAAATTGCTCAGCACCTTGTTCTACCAGCCCAAATGATCTGTTTTTCTTTAAGAGAAGAGGTATTATTGTTCAAATATAGCTTTAAAAATAGTTTGCTTACTGCTGATCTGTCCCCATTGGCCACAGTTACTTACCAGTCCAGCTTGGCCAAATAATAGCTGTACAGCAGTCTTGCAGGCTCCCCGCCAAGTAGAAGGGCAAACCTGATTTAGTACTTCAGTAACAGGAGAGTCATCCCGGGGTGTAAGTCCATTATGGCAACCAGCTTCTTTGATCAGTTGTAACATCGTGTGCTGCAAGTCACAAAAGCCTGTCACACACACACGATTCAAAACAGCATAAAATATATCTGAAAAAAAATCTACTACTGCATGTATATTTTGAAGTTATAAACAGGAAACAAAATGTTCCCAAATGTCCTCATCTTGTCATTTAGATTTGTCAGAACGACACATTCAAGGAAATTAAATACACATCATAGTGTTAAATATAACAGCTCTCAACCTGAAATATTTGCTACCTGTAAACAGTCTAAATTATAAAATGCATCTATATAAACTGAAATATGGAAATTAGTTTGATAACCAGAGTATACAACAGAGCACTGCATGAGACACACTGCAAATTGAAAATTCAAAATGCAATCAATTTTTAACTTTTCTAGAAATAGGGAGCTAAGTTTACCTTGAAAAGGTGAAAATGCTGATATAAATATCCAAATAATTTTTGGATGACACTCTCATCTTGCCTCCCTCTCCCAATTTAGAAATCCATTTTTCCACTAGCTCAGTGAATACCCTTTGAATGCATTTGACATGACTGATTTACATTTATAATTTATAATTTAATACTGCATAATACCGAATTCTACAAGAAGCTAGATTTAGGATCATTACCGTTTTCAGCTTCAGATTTTCTGCTGCAGACTCATTAAAGGATATTCCTTTTAGAAAATGGGATCCGATCTGAACAGGTACAGTGGGAAGTTCACACTGAATTGGCTGAGGTGGAGTCTGTCTCCTTCCCGTTTGTTGGGCTTCAGCTTCACTACAACAGCCCTTGAAGACAAAAATATTGATCAATGAGCAGAAGAGGACAGAGAAAATAAAAAGCTAATAAAGAACAAAATTTAAGGAATTACCACTTTTTATCATTCATTTTCAGAGGGAAAAAAAAGCATATTGGTTCTTACCTGCAAACTTGCTTCAATAGCTTTTGGATTCAAATGGAAGCCAGCCTTCATTGCATACTCACAATGGCCTAAACTCTCCAAAGCGATTTTATATGCCTGATATTATAAAATGGTTAAGAAACAAGTTAGCCATAATCAACAAGTGATGCAAAGCATGCCTATGAATTTACATTGGTATGTTTCTCAGCACATCCACGATCTTCTACAGACAGTAATACAGCAAAGTCACAACATTTTTTCAGTTGATTGAGCTACATGTTTTTGTGTAACACATTCCTTCCCTGCTTCAATTCCCCACCTCCTGACTGTAGTAGAGATGTGGAAAAAATGAGATAATTAAGGTAACTAACCTGCAAAGCACTGTCAATTTTCATGTTCAGTTCTTTCAGCTGATGCTCAGGGATTGCCACACTTTGTGAGCAGAAGAGTTGCTGAACCTCAATCCCAGCCAAACACCCATCGCAGCCTCTTTCTCTCAGCCGAGATGTGGCCTTTATGATAAGGCATAATCAGAAATAAGGCACAGTATTGGTTCAACATTGGAAAAAATCTATATATAGAACACAATTCAAGTTTAGTGGACTAAATTCAGCTTCAGTGTCCCTTTAATACAAAACAAATATGAAGAGGTTTGCATATTAGGGCAACTAATTTCAAAGTTGCCTATTAAAAAGATGAAATATTCAACTTAATTGAAAGCAAGGCATCATAGGCGTGTGCACAGGGTGTGCCTAGGCACACCCTAATGCAGAAGCGGACTGGCCTGGTGGGACAGAGCCACTGGACTCCGCACTCCTGCACCGGAGCCGGTAGGGGCGCCGGCAAGGAGGCCAGCAAGCTGACCCCGGCTGGGGAAAGTACCAGGCCGGGGAAAGGGAAGCCATCAACCCAGGCGGCAGCATTGGGAGGAGCCGGGGGGTGGGGTCACGCACGGCGTGCTGGAGGGGGCAGTGCCACATTGGCATGGCGTTGCAGCAAAGTTTTTAAAAACGGCCAAGCCACAGATTGTGGAAGGAGACGCGCCAAGCGGGGCGTGAGGGAGCACAGCCTGGCTAGAGGCGGGACGGCGGCTGGGCCGGGGCTGCGAATGCCAAGCAGCCCAGCTCCAGGTCCAGTACGTGGTCTGGAGCCTGAGCTGCGGGGACTTCTGAGGTCCGATCACAGCAGACTCCCACCCTGCAAACTGGAAGGCAGAAGGTAGGCGAGAGGAGGGGGAGGGGAGGGAGAAGAGAGGGGGGAAAAATAGGGAGAAGGGGTAGGAGAGGAAGGGACCTGTGCTGATGGGAGGGGGGTAGGTCAGGAAAAGAAAAGGGAAGGCACCAAGGGACAGGGTGGATGAGAGAGAAATGCAAGGGGGGGAGGGAAGGGGTAAGTGGAGACAATGAGGAAAAGGGCAGGAGCCAGGAGGGGAGGTGTCAGAGGGAGGGGGGGGGCAGGGGGAGGAGAGGG